TGTCCATAACATACACATGTAAAGAACACCAAATTATATTACATTAGGTGATAGTGTTTTGCTGTAGCTTGTATGTTAAACTACTAACATCATACTGCAACTGTGATATACTTAAAAAGCCTCTTGTACCTGACACTGACCATATTAATCAATTAATCTTAATGTTCAAAAATGTCAGTGGAAAGACAGACATTTACATGTCAAAACAATATTCTTGCACACCAACTTCAAGGGGCAACCTTTGATTAATAATAATAATAATAATAATAAAAAGAAATCAAGACTGCAGCCACATTTTAAAATGCTTTTATTTCAAAGAAAACACCTAACATCTCAACCACACAGAGCCCCATGATTTCTGACCATATGGGATCTCATCAGTACTCAGCTGTGACTATTTACATTTATGTCATCAGTTAAAAGGTATATACAGAACTGTTGCATCACACTAGACAAGTTAGAAATAACAGGAAACAGCACAATGTCATCCACGGGAGAGGACAAAGGTGAGTGACTTGAGTATCACACTGAGATGCCGATACTTTCAAGCAATGAAGTCCAGTGGTCTGTTGAATCCACCTTTTCTGTTCATGTACTGCCTATAAAAAATAAATATATAAGAAAACATTACATCACTGTTACCCTCGCAACACTTGCAGATTACATCATCGAGCACCAATGGGAGAGCCAGAATCTCTGCATAGAAACACCTGCAGAGGTGATTGGCTACAATAACAGTGGTTGATGCTCACTGTGAGGGCACTGAAAACTTTGTTTTAACTGAGCAACCCCCAATAACAACTTCGGTAAGATCACTATGTAATAATACATTGCTTATGAAACTCTTCTAAAAACTGCCTGTGGTTATGTGCAGCATAACCAACATGCAGGACTATACTATTAAAAACTGCTGTGTTTTTGTTGACATACCTGTATTTTCTCTTCATGGTCACATTGATAGCATATGCATTTACCGATCCATCAGTTTTCCTGCCCTGTTTAAAAACAATGTTACTATGTTTTGCATGTCTCTCTCACACACACACACACACACACACACACACATACAAAAACACAGTTCAAGTTATAAAGTGATAATATTATAAGAAATGTGGCCTGTGCCCCTGAGCCTTTTATTTAGAAAACTAATTTGTTGACAATTTAGAATCTAACCCTTTGCACAGCCAAGCCTGCACTACAAACTACAGGAAACATACATTCAATTAAATCATATATGGCTGCATTAGATTGAAAAACTACTATAGTTGTATACAAAACCATGAGGGTGATGTTTAAAACTGTATTTAACAAATAAAAATAATGATAGTTTTATAAAATGCATATTGGGCATTCAGAACTGAGCTTAAAAAAAAAAAGGCCAAAATGTTTACTCCGACTTTTCCTTTTTTAAATAAGCAAGGCCTCACTGGCTAACTCAGTATTCCCTCCCAGTTCGTATGCACGTAGGGCTGTACCCGACTAAGAATTCTGTCAGTCGACTGTTCAGTGCGACTATGCCCTCTTCTTCTTTTTATTAAGAGTGACAGAAACATATTTCTGAGCATTTAAAAAACAATCAAGACAACCGCATATGATGCAAGATTTAAGTTCCAACCTATTTAAACTGATGATATGTACTGTCGGGCTGCCAAATGGATTTGTCAGAATAATGAGACAGGCAGCACACTTGCATTTCTGTTGAAACAATGCTCCTAAAGGCAAGTTTTTCTTCTGAGACATGGTTGTAGCCTAGTTTACCAACAAGTTTGAGCTTCTCTCACCAGTTAACCACGTTATGTTCGATGTGTGCCAGCTTGCACTTCTAAAGAATATAAGAATATATATTTATGATTCCTATATACATGCATCTGCTTCACAGCACAACCATTCCAGTTTGATGTGAATGTGCACCTGGAAGGATTTTACTGTGAAAGAGTAACAAACATATTATATAAATCAAGTGTGAAGTCTAGCTTGTTGTCCAGTAGAAGTAGCCCTCATCACAGATCAGAAAACTGTGACATATCTGTTAGATGAAGAGTAATCCTTGCAAACAAACACCAAAGAATGACAACCACATTGCACATAAGCTACTGGCTGTATAAATTATAGCTGCTGTTCACAATATTTCTGTGGAAAGTCATGTCACAATATCCATAAATTGTGACACTGAGCAGGCTCACAGAGACAAATGTAAATTAGTATTAATGTTTGGTTTATATTTAGCTTAGAAAGCAATGTTACTTGAAATAACCTGCACCACCTTGTGGCTGCACAACATGGGACAGGCTCGCTCTGTACTCTCACCTTGGTGGTGTCAAAGGAACCAAAGCCCATCTGTTTCATCATCTCAATTTCCTCTTCAGTTTTGCCCTGCATGTCTTCCTCTGTTAAAATATAATCACAGTGAATTTTGGGGGGAAAAAAACAAAAACAAATGCTGGACCTAATCATGCTGTAAGCAGTAAAAGCTAAACTTCCTGCTTAATGTATATGAATATACAGCAGAATGTCCATGTATTATTTATCTTATACCTGAAATCTGAACAGGCTTTGCAGGCTTTTCCTTAACCTCTTTGCGGTCATCTTCTCGTCGGTCTTTTTGTCTCCCAGGAGAAAGAGAGGAGGAGCGATGACGTCTAGGAGGAGACCTACAAAGGGAACAAAAAGATGGCTGCAGGATGGGCTATCATGACTACCTAGGACAGACGTGTCAAACTTAAAGCGATGAAAATTTTTGAAGCTATTTTGATAAATGCGCTTGTTTATTATAGGTAAAGAGCACCATAAACATACAGCAATTAATGAAAATGACAGTGTCAGATGAATTGTCATAAAGATACACTATCTGAACTAGAGATCACCTGATCTGGGTTACTGCAAGTTGTCACTGATATCTGACAACAACAGTTGTTCTAGAAATAGCCAACTACGTTTATCCTAAATTTCCGCAGGAAGAACATCCCAAAGATTAAAATGGAGGCTTGAAAACATTGACTGGTAAATATTCACTTCTTAACAAGGTTTGTAATAATAACACACAACCAGATATGGCAACATAGACTAACAATATTTAGGTCCCTGAGAAACTCACCTTGAACGCCTCCTGTGAGGAGACCGTGAGCGAGATCTGCGCCTGTCTCGCTCACGATCTCGAGAACGAGAGCGATCTCTCTCCCTTCGCCTTCGCTCACGATCCCGTGAAGTTGAGCGGGAACGTCTTCTCTCTGCAGGTACAGCAGAAACGTTACATTGGCATCCACACACTGATATTCTTTAACACAGAGAGCATTAGTATCTTTTTGTTGCTTAAAGTCTCTGCAACACGTTTTAAATATGCTGTATCTGATGTTCATACAACTGTATAAATGTCACTGACACCATGTAAATCCTAGTTTAGTGTTGTTTGTACAGTTTTCTTTTATAAAGATACAGCACATACACTGATTGGCCTCTTTATTAGGTACATCTGTACAACTGTATACAACTCAATGCAACACTTCTGCCCTAACATCTGTGATTATGAAGCTCAAAATGCTTCAGTTTTTGGTGAAATTGACATAAATGCATAAATTCCGTTACATGTTTGCTACTGAGGTCATAGTTAAAGGTGGTGTTGTACTGGACTACATTATATTTACAGGCACCTCTATATTTTTGTTCTCCTCAGCCACATACACGGTCAGAATATTAGGAACAGGCCTGGGGGCCAAAAATGTTAAGCTCTCCAGCTTTTACTCTGCTTTATTGTTTAGTGAAGTACTCGAAACAGTTAAAACACCACCAAAGTTAAATATGTCCTTTAAAACATACTGGATATACTGGTTTTCACGTGTAAACACTTGTGTTAGAAATGTTAACAAAAATGCATGACTTCTGCATAGATCTAGAACATCGCTAGCCACCATATACTCACAGCTGGCAAACCCAGTTATTACAATAGAAGACTATATTGCGATTTAAACCGCGTTATCAAATTATAATCACGTCGACTAACTAAGCCAGCATTACGTAAATAAATACACCGACGAACATGTGCAGCTAGTTAACTCAGAGAAAGGCTACATTTATATTACACAAATCCCGTTTTCTAGTTGTTGTTAAAGAAAAGACATTTTCATGTGCATTTCATTAACATTAGTACATTCTCCCACCCTAAAGGAAGAGCAAACGACTAAAACGCGGAGCTAATCATATATAACTTTATGGTAGGTTAGTATCGAAGTTAGCTTCTTTTGGTTTCTTACCTCGTCTTGTGGGACTTCGACTCCTGCTCCTACCCATCTTCCTAATATGTCATAGGTTACCCTCGTAGATCAATGAAGTACTAAATAGACAATATGTGGTTTAAAAAAAACAAAAAAACAACAATAAACTGCTTTATGTTTCCCTTCAGCGTGAGCTTGGCACATCTGTTGTCGGTGATTGGTATAAGAGGTTCCGGTGACCATTACCGAGAACCCTCTGTAGAGCGCCCTCTACCGAGCCGGAGGCGATTCGACGTCATTGGCACATTGCACGTGTATGCTGTAACTAGACAAATGCATTTCCTGAAGAAAATGTGTGTGGATGCTGATTGCTGAAGAATTACCCTGAAAATGCTTAAATCCATAGCTTGGTGGTTAATGCCACTGACTTTGGTACGACTTCATCATGCCTTTTTCTGTGTTGTGATCTGCCAATATATAGAAAATAAAATGAATTTCACCTTTAACGGGGTGCAGGACACTAATATTGCTGCAAATAAGTTACAAAACACTGACACAGTGACATTCATATATCTTTCTTCCAGAGCCTCCAGTCCTACTGGGAGTGCTGGTGTTAGGGCCCTTCATGTACACCAGAGGCCCTCGACTCCATCACTGGATGGACATGGTCAACACTCCACAGGAGCCGGTGAAGCTTTGGCACGGATTGGGCAGATACATTTAAGCAACCAAACATGAACAGATCCATAAACACACATGTGCATGTACATACACACAGATTCAGAAATAGAATAAAAGTGCTAATAAATGTGTTCATTTGTAAAACGCCTTGAGACGATTTCCATCTCCTAATAAAAGCGTGTCTAGATGAAAGGTGTGTTTGTAATTGCATGTGATTTTTACTTTCATTCTAATTGAATGTATTAACGTTATGGCATTCTCACAATACAGACATTGAAAAATTTACCGTTTCTCCTTAATACATCCGTGGGCAGAATGGTCTCCATCATGCAATTCAGTATCAAGCTGTTATAATATATTAATGGTACATACAAGGGTTGAATTTAGTTTATTGTTATAATCGGTCCTAGTAGTGTTTGTGTCTGGGTTGGCACCATGAAGATAAACGAGAACACTCTATTGGAGGGACACAAAGTTGTGTTGGTTTCTTATAATGCAAAGCACGTGCCCAGGTAACGTTAATATTAACACATGATTGGTCTTGTTACACACGCGACATTTGTCAGTTTTCTTTTATTTTCCTCTGCTGATATCTTTAGTGATGAGTGTTTGAATGTCATTTCTTTACTATTTTGGATTTTAACCAAGTTCTTTTATTGAAAGCGCAAGAAGTGAAGACCAGAAGAGGACTGTTTAAAATCAACAGGAGGTTTACTCAAAGTCTGGGCACAGGTAAAGTCTTACAGCGCTGGGATCAGACAGACAGAGCTCCCGCAGGAAATTCGTTCTCTGAACAATGAGTTACGTTTTCTCATTACATTTATCTTCTTGGGCTAGGCCTGCCCTGGACAGAGGTACAACATTTCACACTTCGTAATCCTATTGGCCATTTGGTGTGAGCAGGTCAACCCCTGCCTGCGTCTGCTTGCTGAAATGTGATCTAAACCAGGTGTGAGTGTGTGTGCGCTTCTCAGGTGGCAGCTTGATCGATGAACACTGAACAACGGGTGGTCTGGGCTGCAGGCCCCCCTGTGTGTGTGATGCTATTGTAGGACGTAGTGAGTATGCTAAACGGGCCAGGTGGCCATCTCAGGCTGCAGGCCCCCTGTTTCTGCAAGATACCCAATGACCAAGGAGAATTTGGAATATGCTAAGCGGGTCTAGGTGAAGATGCAAAACAGGCCAACAGGTCTTTGTTAAAATGTAAAATAGGCCGTCTGTTTACTTGAAGATACAGACATCTTGTCTCTACAGAATTTGTAGTATACAGTTCTAAAATTTCACTCAGTAAAATACAGCAGCCATCAATACAGTTTTAATATGTATAAGCAAGGAAAATAAAGGTATGAAAAGTAACTAAAGGAAACTAAAATTATGAAAAGTAACTAAAGCTTC